TGGAGAGAGTTCTGACAGCAGCATCAGGCCCACAATAGGAACTCCACTCCTTCCTAATGCTTCTCCTGTACAAATGAAACCTTTTATTTATAGGAACAAATTTGGGATGCTTTCCTTTAACCACTGTCATGAAAAGCTGCTGAGAAGCTGCTTTCCTGTCCCTGATACAGAGCCCTAATCCCTGCAGCCCAGCTCCAAGGCTCTCTCTATCCTGGCATTTGGTTTGCCTATTAAAAAAGAATTTCCCTCCTCAAATCTATGTGCTGAGGCACAACTGTCACAGTGCTTTAGCAGCAAAGTTTACAGAAATAATGTTCTAACATTTTTATTGCTGTTTATATTGCTTTAAAGTACCTGATTTGTGACCAGTGGACAGTTTTATTGCCTTCTGTGAGCTTCGTGTCTCAGGCAGAATGCTTTTATTATTTAATGGATACTGTTGATTTTTGGAAAGCACCTCCCTTTGGATGATATTGTCCTGCTAAAAGAGAACAATCCCTTAAAATCCACAAGAGTCTTAACTCTTGACCTTTAGGATTTGATGGCTGTGGGCACAGGAGTGCCCAGGGGCTTGAGCCACTTGGTAATGCCATGCCAGGAAAATTCCAGCTTCGATCTAAAAGTGTGGGAGGCTTCAGGGAACTCAGAAGTGAATGTGACACACCCAGAAGGTTGTTAGCTTTTTGTGCTGTAGATGTGGAGTCTAAAGGCACAAAGAATGTTTTTTTGGTAGTTCCAGCTGTTTTCAGTACTCCTGTGTGGATCTCCACCAGGCTGGAGCATCTCTATAGTGAGCTGACAGTGAAACTGTTGGAAAAAGCTGAGCTGTAAAGTGATCCAAGGCCAGGGATTAGTCAGGTGTTGCACGGTTCATGTCAGATTACTTTTCCTCTGTATTAATTGTCATTTTACTTACCTAAAACCTGGACACCCAGCCAGGTTGTGTCTCTTGGTACAGCTCTAGCAGCAGCCATCTCCCTCTGGAAGTGCCTGTCTTGTTCCATTGGCCAAGAAAGGATTTAGATTGAGTTTGGGCAAAATGCCAAACTTTTGCTTTTGGGAAAGTGTGCTGAGATGAAGCCCCACACTGGATTTTTGTGAATGGGTTTCCATGCAATGTCCCAGTTATTATTCCCTTGCTCTTTGGAGGATTTGGATTCCTTCTCCAATCTCCCCACGAGGCCCAGGTCTTCACAGAAAAGGGAAATGTCATCTTAAATTGCATGGAAAGTTTCTTGAAGTCCATTCAAGGCTCTGCAGTTTCCAGGCAGGGCCAGATGGCAGAGGTGTCTCTCCACATCCTTGTTGTAGTGGTGGAACAGCCCTGGGTGCAGTAAAAATAAATGTTTGTGCCACCTGGTATGAACAAGTGTTTGAATTTAATCCAGGTGTCATTTTCTGTCTGGAGCTGCTTAACGTTGAGCTTTGCAGGGGATTCACTGTAGAAATGTGAGAGCAAAATGATGTTGGCCCAATGGGGGATGTCTTTTACATCTGGCCTTCTACCTCTGTCAGTTTGTACTGAAACACTGTAATTATCAAGGGGCTTTTTTACCTGCTGGGAAGCATCATAAGTAGGGGTCGTTCCCTGTGTGTTTGTAATATTTACAATATAACTTGTTAGACCATGTTTAGAATTTAAATTAATTAATTTAATGCAGGCAGTTCCTGTAATTGTAAGAGAGCAGCCCTGGTGCTGCTGCTTGTCATACCTGAGGATCAAGACACTGAAAAATTATCTCCCCACACCTTTTCTCTGGTAGCTTTAATTAGCTGGGATTTTACAGCCTGGGCTGAGCTCGCTGGGCTCACAATTAGTAAACCCAGCAGAATGAACAAACAGCTTGGAAATCTGGTGAAGCAATAAGTGTGAAGCCCTTCATGTATGGGAACATCATGCTGCTGCTAAATCCAGGGACAAAGCAAGCCTGGACTATAAAAATCCTCAGGAGGCAATTTCCACAGCCAGTTAAAATGCCAGCGTGTTTGACTGCATCCTACAGCACGTGCCATTTAATGAGCATGTGATTCCCAAAATCTGAATTAAGTTATAAAGCTGGAATCAAGTGGGTTTGTGAACTTGGAAAAAGGAGAAATGAAATAATTCCAGTCAGAATTGGAAGCGGTATCAGGATGGTCACATAGATCTACCACGTACAATTGGAAGTCATTTCTTAAAAATGGGTTGTTAAGGGGATATTTGGGGGAGCAGAAATGTTCTTTTGCATCCCATGAGGAGGTGAAATGATCATCCAGGGACAGAGCCAGTGTGTAGGGAGTTGCAGGTTATCTCTAGGATTCCTGAATGGATTGGACATGGATTAGACCTGAATACTCCACAGATGCCTCTGGCTGAGAATCTGCCTGATGTACCCAGTATGGTTTAATAGGAAAGGACTGAAATTATCAACAAGAAAGGAGAATAACTGCAGGCTAATAGTGAATCTGATTTTGTTCTTTAACACTGAAGCCTCTTCTGGTCCAGATCAGTGTCAGGCTGTATCAGGAGCTACTGTGATTCAAGCAAGATGAGATTCTTTGATCACGGATGTCCTTGTCATTTAAAATGTGATTAATGCAACCATGGATTAGGATGTGATTGTGCACTAAGAGTATTGCATGGCTTTTAAAAATAAACAAAGTCACTAAAGACATTCTGAATTAACAAAAACTTCCAAAGTGGATATTGCAAATTTAAATTTGTTTTTGCTCAGGTCAAAAACATCCAGATATTTCATTGGAGAAAAGAAAAAGAATGATATTGTCTATTTTTTTTATTTCTCCTGGAAGTTCCTACCAGCTATGAACTGTGGGTTATCCCATGGGGGGGCACCCTCATCCAGGACTGGGGTGTTTTGGGGTGACGCCCTGGAGGGTGGCAGGTGACAGGGCTGCTTTAAGGGCAGCGGGTTGTACAGACACAGCATTTTTGCAAGTCCAGATTCCACCAGGCTTTAGTTTTCTAAGCTTCCAGGAAACTGAGTTTTCTTCTGGGGTTTATTGTTTGTTTGTTTTTCAGGTTTGGTGATTTTTTTTTGTTTGTTTGTTTTTTTAGTGGCAGCAAGGCAACTTTTCTGATAGTGAAGAGTCTGTAAGTTGAAAGCTGAGGAAACATCTTAGTTTGAGGTATTTGTAGCTCCCATGGATCAAAAAGACGATGATTTTGCTGGGGATTTTTCAGGGGGTGTTGATCAGAGCCTGAATTTATCAGATGCTCTCCAGACTTTGAGTAGGAAACACTTGTGATTTCTGCATTTCTTCGTGAAGTAGTGATGGGGGTCATCGCTGTTTATGTTTTCAGAGGGGAAAAATCCCCCAGCCAACAAGAAAACAAAATAACGCAATGTGGTTTCTATAGGCTTTCAGGGCATAACATATTTCCCTTCCCTAACAAAAGGGAGATTTTAGATATTTTGCTTTAATCCTCATATTTTTTTCCCATTTCTCTTTTGCCTCGGGAATGCATTTAGCGATAGCAGGATAGACTTTTTAGTATTTAAAAATTAGCAATCATCCGCAAAGGCATCCTGCCAAAGGGAAGGGAGGCAGCATGCAGGCTCCACACAAAACCTTTTCACCATTCAGGAGCTGAAATTTATTCTTACAATTTAATCTCAAGATACGTCAGTGTGTTAACAGGAGAACAATCTTGTGTCTGGGATAAATATTCCTAAATTGCTCATTGGAGCATTTTTGCTGGCAAAAAAACAAGGGGCAGCTTTTGGTTACCTGTGAAAGAATAGCCTGTGCTGTGCCAGATGCTGATGAGAAGTTAATCAGCTTTTTGTATGGATACATTCATTGCTAAAAATAAGAGATTGGAGTACAATGGAGGCATAATTGCTGTGCTGGGGAAGAAAGGCTGAGAACTGCACCTTGGATAATTTGGTGTTAGGCCAGGTATTTTTAGGGACATATGGTTTACTGAATGAAAAGTTTTCTATTCTTGTGCTTGTGTTATGGGCTATCTAATGAGGAATTCCATTGCTTAGTTTTAATGTTGTTTCTCACACCAGAGAGACCTTTGAATTTCTTTTGAGATGCTAAATTTCTGCTGTTTAATATATATATTTGCTGTCACCTATATAGAAAAATCAGCAGTTCTGTATGGTGTCAAAAGCAACCACAAATAGAATTTTGGAACGGATTCTGAAATATCTTTATGCAAAATCTGAACAGCAAATCATTGCAGTAAAATTGCAGTAATTAATAATAATAATGCAGGTGTGATCTCAAGATATTTATTACCTTTTTCATGTTCATGTCTGGCTTTCCTGTTCAGTATTTTCAGTAAACAGGAGCAAAACTGTAAAGGTATGTGCATTTTGTGAGCTACAAACTGTGTCTCCAAGTTCCTGTTCTGAGGTCATTAAACATTAAAGCACTTCAGCTCTCTTATCCATGAAATTAAGTTCATTTCCTGTAATTTTAGGTGTCCAGCAGGTAAAGATTGAGCCCAAGGTAATCATCTGGGCTCTTTCAGTGGCAGCAGTAACAGTGATCATGCATCTCCTGGATTTTAAGTAGCTGATTTCAGTGAAAGGGAGGTGACTCACAGCTTTTTGACTGCTTGGGATTGACAGTGATGTGAGCATGGAACTACAGGAGCGTTAAACAAAGACTGAGGTGCAGTAGCGTGGATAAATAACAGCAAATGGCATTCTAACAACTTGGCACACTTTGATGGAATACTTTAAAATTCATATTTCCTTGTAGAACTTCAATAAATAGACTGATTTAATCTGATAGTCACTAGGAGCACTTAGCTGCTGAACCCTTCTTTATCCCATATAATGGCTGTACACAAAACTTGTATTTTTATGCGTTTCTGTTTTGCAGAGCTGAACAAACACTGTATTATTTAATCAAAAACAATTACAAGCCTGTTAACAGCAAATAAAACCCGAGCTATTACACCCTAACAGTTAGGACAAAAGAAAACTGGAGCATATGTAGGCTGATTAAATGGTGTATATTTAATTTTCCTTTCAACCAGAGAAAATTAAGGATGTCAGCTGCTGAAATTCACAGAAGACAGAATATAGTGAGAGCCACATGGGCTGAAACAATGATCCAGGAAAATCAAGTATGTAGGGGCTCTCAAAAGAAATTTGAAGAAAAAAGAACTAAAATACAGCAGAGGAAGTATCTCTTGTGGGTAAAAAGAAAAAAAATATGGAAGAAACATCACCCTGAAAGCTTTAAATTGCCAATGTTTACATCCATGGTACTATAGGTGATGGTGTTATCTAAGATTTACCATTTTCTCTCATAAAGTTAATTTCAGAATTGATATCTTCTCTCAAATGAAGAATTTTTGTGGTAAGAAGTAGTGTAAAGAACGACTAATGGAAAGCAAAGGTCCAGAGAGATTGAGACAGACTTTCAGGTGAGCAACTGGCAGCTACTGTCAAAAATGAATCTTGAAAAATATCCTAATTTGAAAAACTGTCTCAGGTGTGTGAGACTTCTTCCCCATCCCCTTCTCTGCTGCTTTCTGCCCAGACAGCAGGAGTTAACAGAAAACATTTAATTTTCTCTTAGGAAATACTTCTCTTTTTTGTATCTGAATATATGGAGAGGCTTCTTGCTACTTCAAAGTCTGAGTATTTAGAAAAAGGCTTGGAAAGGTGAAAGCAAGTGACATTGTCTACATTGTTTTATAAATATCAAAGCCACTTAATAATTATTTTCTATTGCCTGAAGAATAATCGGTTTTTTTCAGTATTTTGTGCCTCAGCAATAGAATTCTTCAAAGATTTTAAGGGCTTATTTTCAGCTCCTCTTGCAGAAGGAGAGCTCTTGCAAAAATCTGTACCCTTCTCTAAATTTCTTTCTTCGTAAGCCCATGTTAAAATGTCACACCTTGGCAAAAGAAATATGTCAGAAACAGATACATTAGAGCAAGAAAAAACCCACGTTTTTTCTTTTTTTTTCATATGAAAGTCTGTAGTGTAAAGAGGAATTGTAAATGTAATTGAAGTCCTTGAAAAAGGCAAGACAAACCCAAAGTGAAGTTTGTGGGCACGTTCCTCATGAATCTGCAGTGCACTGAGTTCCCCAGGGCTGCTCAGGTGCCTCAGGTCAGTGTCTGCCCCAGAGTTTTGCTCCCACCATGGATGGGGGTTGGACCAGAAATCTGGGGATAAACTGCAGCCCATCACCCTCATCTCTTGGCTCGTGTCCCTCTTCTGCAGAGCTCCCACTGAAGATCATCAGAGGAATCCATGGAAACACAAGGAGGAAGTGACATCATTTTGCTTCTTGGTGGCTTGATTTAGTATTGCTTAATTAACTAATTACTGCAGCGACCATGGGCAGGCTTTGTCCCAAGGACATCCCATTAAAGCAGCCCACACCTATTTAACTCCTGTATTCTGTGAGCATCTGCTTTTCTTTCTTGTCTTGGGAATGTGGGACTTTGCATGGTCCAGTCAGTGGGATTATTCACAGGCATTAACACTGTGTTCCTCCTGACCAGTCAGTGGGATTATTCACAGGCATTAACACTGTGTTCCTCCTGACACAGCTTCTGGGAGTGTGCCAGCAGAACTTATCCCAAATGCTTTTTACTCCCCAAGTCCTGAGTACAGCCCTTCCTGTTATAGATTCAGCATCTCCTAAGTCTTCTTGCATTGTACTTCCCTTAATGGAATTCATTCAGTATTTGGAAGCTTTTTAAGCAACCTTAACCTGCTCAGAAAAGTCTGTCCCATTTTGCTATTTTATTTTATTTTAATTATTATTATTACTATTATTATTACTATTATTATTACTGTTGTGGGAGTGTGGCCATTTTTGGGTTTTGGTTTTTTTTGTTTTTTTTTTTTTCTTTTTTGTGTGTGGTTTTTTGGTGTTTTTTTTAAGGCAAAAGAGAATTTGCCTGACAGCTGATCTAATAAAATATGCTCTGGTCAGGTATTTGCTCTGCTGCTGCTGACACTTGATCTGAGGGAAAACAGCACAATGAGCTGCTCCGAGCTTTAAAAGAAATAGGAACTTGTTTTTCAGTATTTGTTTTTGTACATCATTGTCTGGGTAGGATCTTGCAGGAGGTCTCAAGAGAGGCAGCAGCAAACTCATGTTTGTTGTGTCCATGGAAGTGTTTTTTCCTTTGCTTGTTTTTTTAAGGTGTGAGATGTCAGCTTTTTGCTCATCACAAAGTTAGCTGAGATCAGTTCAGTTTCTCTTCCTTGCTCATGCAGGACATCCTTCTGAGCTCGCTCATCCCAAAGGCAGAGGCTGTACTGAGTGCACTAAAAAAATATATTAAAAAAATAAATAAAAAAAAAAATTAAAAATAAATTTGTTGTGCCTTTGCTCTCCTTATCCATCTAATGAATTCCTTTCACTGGAGCACAAAGTTGCAGTTACACTTCCAGGTTTCTGAAGGAAGGTGCAGAATCTCCCTGGGGCACCACCAGGGTTTGATCTGAGCCAAACCTCCTGAACCCAGTGGGGTGTCCAGGGGATGGAGGTCACTCAGGTGTTACCATGTAACACTAAATAACTGGGAGTTATTGAAAATTCCATCTCTCTGGAATTCTGTTCCACTCACAGTCTTAGAGCAACAGCTGAGAACTGAGCCACTGTTTTCTTTGGCTCCTGAGAAGGATAATGTGGGTGCATTTATTATCCCAACCATCAGAAAGGCTGAGTGAGATCCAAAGAACAAAACCTAAAGAAATGAAACAGCATTTACAGGAGGCACTGCCAGGAAGATGGAGAAGGATATTTTTAGATATTAGATCTGTCAAGAAGAGTGGAGATTTTCCTTGGAAGGTGTCAAACAAATCCAGACCTTGGATGGCACTTTCCAGCTTTATAGATCACAGCACCCTTGACAGAAGATGTGGAGGATATCAGCAGATACGTTTTACACATGGAAAAAGCAAACAAAACTTCAAATGGCAGGAGAAAAGATCAGGTACTGAGGCAAAGACTCACCCATTACACAGAAATTTGATTTTCTTTAGGGCTGGCAGGTAAAAGCAATATCAGATTAGGGTGTAACCCCTCTAAAGGTGCTAAGTGATTAAACACATTAAGATGTGCTTGATAAAGGTTCTAGCAGACTGTTTTGAGAGCAGTACCTTTATTTGTGTCAGGAGCCCCAACTTTTATAAACTTTCTATATTTTTTAAAAATTTTCTCCATTATAGTTTAAATTTCTCCATTCCTTTGTATTAATACTGAAAATCCTAGCAGTGGTATATTTGGGCTCTTTTGGTTGTTTTTCTAGTTTGGGGGTTTTTGTTAGTTGTTTGTTTGTGGAGGTTTAAAGATTTTGTTTAGTTGTGGTCTTTAATTTTTCTTTTAAATCCATTTGAATCATGAGTACAATCTGGTTGTGGACAAGCTCCTTTAATATCTCATCAGAGCTGCAGTTAAAGGTCTCAGAGGTCAGATCTCTGGGTAGATGAAATCCACTGCAGCCTCAAAGTTTCTGTCTCCATAGTGAATTTCCTACCATTCAAGAGATTTACACCTATTCAGCAGCCTGGTTTAAAAAACTGATTAGAAACTTGATAAGCCAGAAATAAATTTCTGCTGGGAATGCTGCCCAGATGCTGCTCAAGCACGCTTCCATTCACCGTGTTTTATTGCCACAGGCTGTTTTTCCAGGGGAAGGTGTAAGGCTGTACTTTTATTCCTGCCCAAATTGTGCATTTCCCAGTGTTACATTTATCCCTCTTTCAAAACATCCTGTTGTTTCCTTCCTCCAGGAGCTTAGTTACGAGTTCTGATAAGAATCAAAATCAAAAAATCAAAGCAGACATTGAAAAAATTTACTGAGGATTTACTCCCTGTTGTTAGTTGTGCTTGCACAGCCACAGAAAGTGGCAAATGCCACAAGCACCACCACCATAAAAAAAGAGTATAAAGAGTATAAAGACTAAAACCAGATGGTGGTGCCAATATAAATTATGTCACAGAAATATTAAAAAAAATAACTTTGTTAATGTATGTATGTAAAAAATGTACATTTTTCTGAAAGGATTAAAGATTATTTTTTACAAATAAGCCCACTGAGCACAAAAAACAAATCCTGACCTATTTAAGTGTCTAAATTGTATGGAAAATATGGAAAAGAGGAAAAAGGGGTTCTTAGAAGATTTTGACCCTGTGTTGCTCATGCTCTGTAGTTTCAGGTAGGTGCCAGCGTGTACCATGTGGCCTTGTCTTGCTGCTATTTTGGGGAATCATTAATTTCAGCATTCAAGCTGACTCCATGCACTATTGATCTCCCTATTTATAGTACCAATCCATTACACACAGGGTTTTTATCTGTATGGGATTTGTTTGGTTTGTGGGTGGGTTCACCTGGTTTGCAGGGCTTGGGGGTCACTGTCAGTCCAGGCAGCTCTGCTGGAAAAGTCCCATTTCACAGGCTTGGGGGATTTCTTCAAAGCACTGTTGGGATTCAGCTTCCTGTAATAAGAAAAGTTGAATAGAACAGGGAATTACAGAAAGGCTTTGTGTCCACACTATGGTCAGCCACACACATCTCCACAGAATTGAAACTGGCACCTTCATTCTCTTCCAAGGGTGCTGAAATGTTCAGCTGACCTAAGGGATGTCGCTTGTCACAGCAGGGGAACGCAGGCATCACCTCTGGGTCACCTTGGGAGACATTATACATTGAAATCTAGAGGGAGAAATTCTACAGCAACACCTCAGCAACAGTGCTGGTAGGAGATGCTGCTCTGGAGGGTGCTGGAATAAAGAAATAAACATACAGAGAGGTGTAGATGGTGTGGCAGCACCCCTCCAGCTGCTTGGTGGGGATAGCCAAACTCCAGCATTCCCAAATTCCCTGGAGGATGAAGGAGCTTCTGAAGTGGCCAGTGGGAAGCACTGGCACACTGGCAGAATTATTATCCAGGTGTATCTCAATGCTTTTAAATTCCAGGAGGTATAAATGCACCAAGGGCATCGTGCCATTTTCTGTTGCAAGATCTCCTCCTGCTGTAAGCCAGGGTGGGGATGGTTCTGGTGGCTTTTCAAAGGCAAACTCTTAACTCTGCTCATGTGAATGCAATGAGGTTTTGTGCATCAGCACTTCAGAGCTTATTCAGATGTGTAAATATGAAGCATACATTTATTCTTCTTCATAAAAATCATTCAAAGGAAAAAAAAATACTTCTGCTGTGTTAATACTCTCAGTGAGGCAAGAGCAGTTGATCAGAATATAAGGAAAATGAAATTCTGTGAATTTTAGAGAAGCAAAAGAGAGAAAAGCTCAGTTTACAGAGCGAGGAATTGAAGACACAAATTCAGGATTTTCCACCTCTCTTATCACAAGAGATGACCGGGTTTTGTTTGTCTCCTTATTTCCTGTTAAAGGATGGGGGTAAAAAAAGAACTTGAGAACAGCAAGGTTTGATGCATCTTTATTTAAAACCCAGTGTCAAATGATGTTGTTTTGGGCAAGTGACATTTAGAATATTCTCATATTTGCAGAATATCCCTTTCCAAATTGTGTCCATTCTAACTATTTGTTTTCCCAAGGATGCCTTGGAAGGGATCCAACTGGAGAAAGCATGCCCTTAGTGCCATAGTCTTATGTGCACAAAATATTTTTAATTTCCTTTTCAAAAAACATTGGACTTTGTAACCTTTCAGAAATATTTTGGTCAAACCCTGGAGTTCATAGCTTTGCTCAGTCAAGTGCTCCACTGGGGATCCTTGGGAAAGGGGGGAGCACAAAGTGTGGCCTGGAGTTTGTGCAGGACTGTTCCAGCCTCCTCTATTCCCTTCTGGTCTCCTTTCTCCTGCCAAACATATTTACTTGACATCCCCCCAGCTAAAATTTGATTTTTATAATTGAAAATTAACTGCTTGGGTAGTTTATACACATCAAAGTGTGGTTTATTTTCCATTGCCTTTAAGGCTGTTTTATCCTTCATGTTGGAAAGCTTCTTATCTAGATGAAACAGCCTTAAATGGCTGGATTTAGTTCATTAAATTCTTGGATAACTGGGAGTCTGTCTGGCACTTAGCAAGTGAAATTAGGAAAAGAAGTTCTGATCTACCTTCTAAATGTAAGAAATTGAATTCTTAGCAAGCTGCCACG